AACCTAATTTTCTAGATCTGCATGTGATCGATTCTAGCAACAGCTTCTCTTGTGGCCAGGTTGCTTGTAAATTGAGCACTTATTCATCCTCTAGGGAACCTCACAAGCTGATGGAATACGCTTAACTATTTTTCTCCCTTTTTATGTCTTCTTGAATGGTGGATGGATAATAATGTCAACCAACTCTGGCGGCACCACCCACTGCTCTTCTGAAGGAACTGGATATATCGTTCTAAATAAGCTAGCATATAGTGATTTGCCATATGGAGAGGGAAGTAAAGTTCCATGTAAATTCTTGAACCAAAATCTGGCTTCCGTTGGTGTTTCGGTGTTGCTAATGCATGAGGACAAGGTAAACGTTGAATGTTAAGCACTTCACAACTGCAAGTTTTACTAAGAAGGTTATCCGGACCATAATCGCGCATGGTGAACTCTTGAGCATTAAGAGGATGGGCAAACAGTGCATTTGACAGTTCCATATGTTCTCGCAATAATTTTTCAGCTGACGGAACAAGGGTTGTGGTAAAATTATTTGACTCCGTACGCGCTCATGGAACCACCGTGACAATATCCTCTGGATTGCATCAAAAAGGGCAACTATTGAAAACTTTTTTTTCTATTAACAACTTCGAATTTATGGACTCGGCTATGTTCGTGGTCATGACATCAAACCTTTGTCTAGGAAAGTAAGCTCTACTCCATCGCTCGAAACCAATGTCATGCTCAAAATATTTAGCAACTATCATATCCTTGATTCGGATTTGCCAAAAGTGCTCTCTTTCTTTATAGAGTTATGCCTATCGGATATTATGCACAACTCGTCACTGTCAGACACTCTCCTACGTAATTGATGAAAAAACCAAGTCCATGACTTGTTATTCTCAAAGTTAACTACACACCATGCAACGGGATATGTGTGATTCTTGTTGTCCTGTGCAATGGCCACCAATAATGTACCTCCATACTTTCCCATCAAAAAGCAACCATCAACAGCCAACACCTTTCTCATGTTTACAAAACCCCTTATAGCAGCACCCGTAAGCAATAAAAAAAATATTTAAACCTCATATTCTTGTCCCACTTTAAAGCCATCTTACTACCTTGGTTTGTCAACTGAAGCATATAACAATACGCTTCTAATACTGCATACCTGTGCTCCGGCGTGCCTCTCACAAAATCTTGTGCATGTTGTCTCCCTTTCTAGCATTTCTAGTAACTAACAACGCATCTCAACTCTGTGCGCACAAGTCTCTGAATGTCCTTAGGAGATGGACATTTCCCTTCAACAAACTGGCTTTTGACAAATTGTCCAATAACATCAGTGGAGGCTAGTTAATGCTCACCTAAAATGTGCCTTAAACCACATGTGTGCTCACGGGTATATGTGCTAACAATAAATTTTTCAGACTCCGCCAACCTTTTACAGTAAACCCGCCCTTGCACTTTCGGTCACGACATGCAACCGTCACTACTGATGAATTAGACTTTTTGGTGATGAACTCAAAATTACCTCTCACGGCAACAAGTTTTAGCTTCCTCACCACTTCCTCTTTGTCGTCAAATAAATACTCTATGCGTATCTCTGATCCATCAGTAAAAACATGAGCTAATTCACTACTATCTGCAATTGCTACCTCTGAACCTGCATAAAGGACCATAGTGTTCTCTTCCTCACAAACTACACCTTCTGCATAATCTGTATTTAAAGGAATCTCTACATCTACGGGAACATGTACGGGGTCCTCCTCGTCAACATTTTCATTCAATCGTATATGACCAACCTCTTCTACAGTGTCCTCCTCACCACCCAAATCACTGCATACTCTTGATTTTTCAACTAAGAAATCAATGCCCTCGTAGTTCTAATTAAAACCAGCATCTCGTTCCTTTGAACCAACTTCCAACGGTATATCTACAAAAGAAACCCTTAAAATCGACCTCGAACCATTATCGCCCACATCAATCATATATAACTTCACACCTTCATTTGACTTTAATATAGCAAGAGACACTTTATAATGTTCAGGAACTCTGCTTAAAACATACTTCACAACTATATCACTACGTGAGCAACTCAAATCACCTTTTCTAATTATTTCATCAATCAACTCATCAAAACTAACCTCTGTGCTCACAACAATTGGTATAACTTCTTTGTTTGTCCCAATCCACTTCTAACGACTTTCTTCCTCCACCCACTCACCAAAATATTCAACACCCAAAACAACTTGTTTCATGTCTAATAATAGTCATATACCTGATCGCTTAAGCGATCTGCGATCTGCTGCATTATACCAGACGTACCAAATCGCTTAAACGATACACTAGATCGCTTAGGCGATTCATCATATCTAGAACACATTTTCAGTCATCTCCACCTACAATCGGTGCTACCACCCCCAGCTACCCGCAATGCAAGAAAATATTCAACAAATTTCACTCCTTTCAACTTGCATTATATCAAACACAACTCAACAACCTAAACAACTAAATCAAAATCATAACCCAAACCCAATCCATCATTAAATCTTTGTAAATCAAAATATAAAATAGAAATGGGAGATACACATACTTGGACAAAATGTCAGGAGGAGGAGGAGGAGGATTTGTGGCGAAGAAGATGTTAATGATAGAGGAAGAAGATAGTGTTGATGGCGGGAAGAAGAAGATGTACAGGAAGGAGGAAGAAGAAGATGTAGACGAAGCTTAGAATAAACAGCAACCAGGGGAGGGATGTGTTAATGGCGGGAGGAAGAAGAAGAAGATGTTATGTTTGGGTTTGTTTGCAAGAATTTCAGGTTTTTGGAGACATATTATAATTTTTAAAAGATTATATAATACTTCATTAATCCTAATTAAGTAATGATTAGTATTTAATTGTTATTAGTTTGTCTTAATAAAAAATAAGACCATTTAGTAAAAACTAAAAAACTGCTTGGCCTTTTAATTAAATTCAAGGCCAATATGACCTTTTAATCGTTTGTCCCAAAAAGCATTTGCAGCTTTCATGTCTCATCCAATGTAACTAGTATTTAAACCCCCAGAGGCTTGCCCTAATCCAATAAAACCCTGTCGTCCTAGTAACTACTTAGCACCCTCTGTCGTCAGAATCCCTAAAGTTTCTTTTGTTAGTTTGGCCGAACGACTTACGCATACCCAAGGTTTTTCGAAACGACAAGTTGGTACCCAAAAGGTTTTGAAACGACAAACAGGTACCTTCCGTCATGTGTTGTTAGTGATTTCTGTTTGTTCATAGTGAAAAGACTAAAATGCCCTTAAAAGTTTGATATTTTAGTTTTTTATAAATTTAAAACTTTCTAAAAAACCCCCTAAGTTTGCTAATTTAACTAAACACCCCCATATATAAAAAGTTTGTTAAATGACAAAAATACCCCCACCACCTACAGGCCAGATTCTGACCACCACCGTCGGAATCTGGCCGAAAATTGTGTTACGACACAGACCCGTCGGATCTGTGTCGTAACGTGTCGATCTGGCCTTTTCCGGCCAGATCCGTGGCTGATCCGGCCTTTTCAGGCCAGATCTACCGCTAGATCTGGCCGTCATGGCCTCAAAACTCCATCTACGGCGTCGACGGCTAGATCTGACCGTAGATCTGGCCTTTTTCGGCCAGATCAGCCACGGATCTGGCCGAAAAAGGCCAGATCGACGCGTTACGATACAGATCCGATGGGGCCTGTGTTGTAACACAATTTCTGGTCGGATTCCGACGGTGGTGGCCGGAATCTGGCACTGTAGGTGGTGGGGTGTTTTTATCATTTAACAAACTTTTTATATATGGGGGTGTTTAGTTAAATTAGCAAACCTAGGGGGTTTTTTAGAAATTTATAAAAAACTAAAATATTAAACTTTCAAGGGCATTTTAGTCTTTTCACTGTTAACAAAAAGAAATCACTAACAGCACATGACAGAAGGTACCTGTTTGTCGTTTCAAAACCTTTTGGGTACCAACTTGTCGTTTCGACAAACCTTGGGTATGCGCAAACCGTTTGGCCTTGTTAGTTTTAACCAAATTAAGGTAAATGCCATTAATGCCATCACCTGCTATGCCCACCAATTCCAATCCACCCCTTACTCCACTTCATCTCTAGCAGCCCCAAACATCCCATGTTAGGCTTCAAAATTTTAAAATATTACAGATTTTTATAAGAAAAATAAAAATAAACTAATAAAAAAATGAAAATGGAAAAAAATTTAGAATAAGAAATACTTGAAAAAAATTAAAAATAAAATTATCTCAAAAATGAAAAACTTACTTTTAAAAAAGTTGAAAAAAATAATACAAATCTGAAAAAAAAAAAATTTAATTGAACTAGGCAAATATTTTTTGGTTTTTTTTTTTTTTTTTTTTGGGTGTTTTTTTTTTTTGGTTTTTTTTTTTTTTTTTTTTTTAAGTATTCTTAATTTTTCAAAAGCTTTAAAAGCATTTTAAACCTTTTTTATTGGTATTTGTGATTTTAGGGTACATTTGTGTTACTTAAGAATTTAAAAAAAAAAAAATTTAGCTATTTTACCTTTTTATTTAACATTTAGTTGTTAATAAATTTGAGGAGTGAATAGCCAGGTTCAAAATATAATTAGGGTAATTAGTAATTGTGTTTGGTGAAATTAAGTTAAGCTGATAATTTTTTGGGGGTAGTTGTATATATGTTAGTTTTACGGGTGTAAAATTATAAAATTAAAGTGTCTTTATGTTTTAACCTTGTTATGTTAAAAGTATCCAAAAAAGACTTTAGGGGGTTCAAGGAGTTACCAGGACTATTAAGGCAGAATTTGTTCTAATAAATGATTGATTATTGTTAGAAAACAGTAGACTAGGAAAGGTCAATTAAATGTAAAAATTATCGTCTTTGTAAGGCTATCACATGTTGGTATGGAAAATTATCGAGCAGTGAAGAAGAGAGGGTCTATTAATGAATGCATTGGGATTGGGATTGGGATTGGGATTGGGACTTGAAACTGTTGCAAGTCAAAATAACAACTCATCTTCTAACCTAATTCCACATTTTATTTCTGTCCCAACCCTTCTCCTAACCTAACGCTCTCACTCTCTTTTTTCACTTGCTATGTGGACTTGCCTTCTTTGATTTCTCAACTCTCTGGGTTTCTTCTTCTTCTTTTTAACCCACCCACCTTTTTCTTGAAATGTTGCAAATTATTTCTGCATTGTTTCTTCTTCTTCTTCTAGATTTTTGTTTAGTTGACTTAATTCAGTTCCCATTTATGAGACTTTTGTCATTACTTTAGCTAGTCTCTTCATATCTTCATTGTGTCTCTTAAATTATGGGTATTATCACTGCTCTGAGTTTGAGTTTGATCATTGTTTTGTTGGTAGTAAATGCATTAGCAAAATCAGATTTTGAAGCACTTTTAGAGCTGAAGAAAAGCATTCAAAAGGACCCATCAGCCCAAGTTCTTGATTCATGGGACTCTAACTCTTTAGCATCTGATGGGTGTCCCAAGAATTGGTTCGGGGTTACTTGTAGTGATGGGCATGTAACATCTATTATTCTCAATGATGTGGGTCTGCTTGGGAATTTTAGTTTCACTCATATTATAGGCCTTAAAATGGTACGCAATTTATCACTTTCAAACAATCAATTCATGGGGACTATCACAAACATTGCCTCCCTTCAATCTCTTGAGTTTTTGGATCTCTCCAGGAATATGTTTCATGGGTTTATACCCTCTAACATTGATAAATTGAAGAATTTAGTGCTTCTGAATCTTTCTTCAAACAGTTTCCAAGGTACAGTTCCTTCTGGTTTCAACAATCTTGAGAAGTTGAAGTACTTAGATTTGCGGGGTAACGGATTTAATGGGGATATTATGCATTTTGTATCCCAGTTGGCTAGCCTGGTACATTTCGATCTCAGCAGTAATAAATTCTCTGGTTCACTGGACTTGGGGCTTGGAAACTCTAGTTTTATTTCTTCAATTCAGTATTTAAATATCAGCTACAATTCTTTAGTTGGAGAGCTCTTTGCTCATGATGGAATGCCGTATTTCGACAGTTTAGAGGTGTTTGATGCTAGTAATAATCAGTTATTGGGTAATATACCTTCCTTCAACTTTGTTGTCTCTCTTCGGATTCTACAGCTTGGAAGCAATCAGTTGTCAGGGTCTCTACCAGAAGCTCTTTTTCAAGAAAGCTCAATGATGTTATCTGAACTGGATCTCAGCCTTAATCAGCTTGAAGGTACAATGAATTCTGGCAGCCTTCTTGTTCTGATTATAGCAGTTATTATATCTATTATCTTTTGAAATTAGTTTACTTTCTAATTCTGGTAACCTTGGCAAATAGTTATATGCAGAATGCGCCTCATAGTAAGTCAATATTCATTCATTTCTGTATTTCCTATGCATTTGACTTCGTTTATCAATATAAATAGGATTTGATGTAACAATCTCCTTCCTTAAAGCATCAATATATGTTTAGTTGTCGTAGTTCAAGAGGTACTTCTATGGTGCTTGTTTTGATTGACATGAGGTTTTCATTTTTTTTGTTTAGCCTGTAGAAAGGTATCATCTTTGTTCCATTTGTTATGGGTGGTACCAGATCGTTGATATAGCTAACCATAGTGCTTGATAAATCAGATATAGTTTATAGAAGCTATATTTGTTCAATGCATAGATGGGAAAAAAAAAATTCGTAAGGTTGAAATCAAATATTGACTTTTAGTATAACTGCATTTCTTGCTATTGATGTCTAACATAATGGCATGAGATTTGGAATAAACCATGCTGCACAACATAACTTGCGGCACAGTTTTGATAGGAGTTAGACAAAATGAAATGACTTGAAGAATATGGAAAGAGCATTGTGATGATATTTCATTAAATATATATAATGTGTCATGTGTTATACCACTTACAAAATAATGACAAACTTTCTGCTTTAACTAGCCAATGAATGCGGGAATAAAATCATAAATTTAATGAAAACCTTAATATACCAAGTTGGGAAGGACTAAACAGTGTGGCATCAGGAGCTTGGTCTAATTTTGATGAACATCTGACCTTTACTTTAAAAGAAAAGGGAATCTGGTGAAAGAAGAAAGTAAGACATGGTAGTCATAATTTCTTGTGATTTCAGAAACATTAGAATTATTCACTTACTCCTTCTGTATCCTAGGTCCAGTTGGAAATCTAACAGAAATTCAGTATTCGATAATGGTTACTCAATAGGCTTTTTCCTCCAAACCACTGTATTTCATTTCAATAATTTTCAGTGCTTGTTAAAGAGCATTGCAATGTTGATGGAATCAGAATTTTTCCCCAGAGAGGGCAACATACTTATGGTGCACGTTCAAATCGCCAAAGCTTTGTAGATTATCCTCTGAAATCTTAACTAATTTTTATTTCCTTTGAAATTGTTTCTTTTATTTTATTTTTTTTGTCATAAACATGAATTTTCGATTTTCTTTCTTTTTATTTTAACCAAAATTCATTATCTAATTAAAAGAAGAAACTTCTATGCTTAATTAATTACTCTTCTAAACTGCTAATAGAGACAGAAACATAATTTATCTGAAAATTTACTCTTAGACCTCATCTCTTTTAAAGTGCCTTCTCTAATTAACAAATGCTCATCCCTAAGCATTTACCATAAACCAGTGGTACCTAATCATTTTTGTCATGAAAAGACGTAAGATGGTTGTAGATTATCTGCAGTTCTGACGATGATGTTAGATTTTTATCTGGTGATTACTGTAGCAAAAATGGCAAAGATATAAATATAGTTATGGTTTGTGGACAAAGAAATGAAGTCCATTCCTGAGATACAATGAAAAGACTTGCATTTATGTTGTTGATAAGATCGATGGTGGTCAATTTAAAGAGAATTCTGATTCTGGAATGTACTAGTAAGAGACTCTCAATTTTGAAGACAGTATGCTGATTTTTGTTTTTCGGCTGATTGATAAATGTCTGTATTTAATTGATCTTGATGTAGATTATAGGGTTTTGATACAATTTGTTATACATTAGTTAGATTTCAAAAGCTTTAGGGAAATACTATGAATACAAAGTTTGTATCCTAGTTCTAATTTTCCGAGTAATATAGCTCTCATTTAGGATATCTACATAGATGATAGAGTAACCTGGTAAATTGTATGACGATTTAAATGAATGCCAGGTAATTTGGGATATAAACTTTGTATGTGTAGTGTTTACTTTTTCAAAAACAGCTGATGAATTGTAAATTTTAATGAGCAAAAATCTAAATAAAAATGCATAATTAATGATCATAAAATAGTACCAATTAAAGATAACAGTTGAAACAATGCTTTGTGCAGCACAACCATTTTGGCATAAATTTTAAAAAATAGAAAACAGCAATCCCAATTTGTTTAATACTAAAGCAAAAAGGAAAATCTAACTTGTTACTCTTTTGCCTTTACCATCAAAATCTCTAAGTCATATTTTTTGTATGCTAATGTCACCAAGATCAATTTATTGGTTCTATTTGATAAACAATTTAATACTTGTGTCTAACATTTACCATATAGCTTAAGCTTTCAGTTCAAGCAGTAAATTAACATGGTTTAATAGCCGAGGTCATGCATTTGCTTGTCTCTGTCTAGTTTTGGTCTGGATATTTGTTATATTCTAAACTGTCTGTTTTGCTAGACATATGTGATTGGAAATTTGAAAATAAATCAAGGGCTTTACAAGAAAAAATAAAAAAGAAACTAAATCAAGAGAAATGATCATTGAAATATGCCATTCTAAGAATGGTTAATTATCATATATAAATTATTTTTCCCATCTTCATTACAGTCGTCCTTTCGTTTGCAGCAGTAATTAGTTTTAGATGTCATTTTATGATCTTTTTAATGTAAAAGTTATGAGAATAACAAACAATCCATCTTCTCCTCCGTCATCCATTTTGTTAATGTTATTGTTTTTAATATTTTGCATGTGTGACAGGTCCAGTTGGAAGTATAACGTCTGCAACCTTAAAGAAGGTTAATTTATCATCAAATAAGTTATCAGGCTCCTTACCTCTTAAGGTTGGACACTGTGCCATTGTAGATTTGAGTAATAATAGACTCTCTGGGAATTTTTCCAGAATGCAGAGTTGGGGAAATTATGTGGAAGTTATTCATTTGAGTTCTAACTCATTGTCTGGAACTTTGCCAAATGAAACTTCTCAGTTCTTGAGGCTGACTTCATTCAAGGTATCCAACAACTCATTAGAGGGTGTTCTCCCGGCCGTTCTGGGAACATATCCAGAACTAAAAGTTATTGATCTTAGCCTCAACCATCTTAATGGGTTCCTCCTTCCAAGCTTCTTGAACTCCACAACACTGACCGATATTAATCTGTCAGGCAACAACTTTACTGGGCCATTACCTCTTCAAGAAACCAAAACTACTCCTTCAGTAAGTTCTGCCCCAAGTTTGAGCCTACAGTCTATTGATTTGTCTTATAACTCATTAAGTGGTCAGCTGCTCCCAGAGATCAGTAAATTTCATAACTTGTTGTACCTAAATCTTTCCAACAACAAATTTGAGGGTAGCATTCCTGATGGCCTTCCAGATGTCCTAAAGGGACTCAATGTTTCTTTTAATAATCTCTCTGGTGTGGTACCTTATAACTTAAGGCGGTTTCCTGATTCAGCATTCCATCCTGGAAATTCCTTGCTGAGTTTTCCTTATTCACAACTGTCACCAGGTGCTCCAGACCTGACTATGAGTGAGCATGGAAATCATATGAAACCTGCTACTAAAATTGCCCTGATTGCAGGTTTAGTTGGTGGTCTTACTATAGTTGCTATTTTATGCATTATGATATATTGCGTCCCCTGGCTGAAACATAGGATGATCAGTTTGAATAGAGATGGGGAAAAGAAAGATGTTCCTCAAGGGGGTTCTTCTCTTTCTCATACGTCAGTGCTTAACAAAAAAGTCGACCCATCATTATCTTCATTTGGCTTCAATGAAGATCTTTTACCATCATCCCGAATGGTGTCTGCATATGATTCTGGGGACACTTCATCAGTTGTAAAGCCTAAAGATACTTGCTATCGTGAATCAATAAAGAAAGACGAAGGGTTATCTTCCCCCTTGTCCATATTGTCGTCTTCAAATCCATCACCTTCTAAACACCAAATTGACTCCAAGAATCCTGAAGTGCTCAAGGTCTGTTCTCCTGACAAATTAGCTGGGGATTTACATCTTTTTGATGGTTCCCTGGTGTTCACTGCAGAAGAACTTTCACATGCTCCAGCAGAAGTCATTGGAAGAAGCTGTCATGGAACTTTATACAAAGCTACACTTGACTCTGGTAATTTAATGGCTGTCAAATGGTTTAGGGAAGGGATAGCAAAAGGGAGAAAAGAATTTGCAAGGGAAGTAAAGAAACTTGGGAACATCAAACATCCAAATTTAGTTTCCCTTCGGGGTTACTACTGGGGTCCAAAGGAGCATGAGAAACTAATCATATCCAATTATATTAATGCACAATCTTTGTCCCTCTATCTTAAAGGTAAGGTCCCTTCCGTCGTTTGCATTTTCTATAAGCAACAAAGAAATTTCTGGATGTTTCTTAATTCAAAACCTATGTTTGAAAATGATTTACCTAGCTGGTGGTTTTTCCAATCTGATAACTCTGGACCATTAATAATGTCTATATCCTATGTGTAATATATTTTCAACAATTAGAAGACAAGAGTCATCAGCAAAAACACAAGCAGCTATTTCTGATTGCATGTCATGCTATCAGGTTCTTGCATTCGCTTGCAACTGCATCTGTTTTAATCCTTTAGCGCCTACATTCTGATCTGCATGATTATTTATTTTATTTGCATCAGTCTGTCATCAATTCATTTTTTAGTGTTTATCACTCAGTGCAACATTTTCATGAAATTTTTCCCATTATGGTTGTGTGGGCATCAGTATATTATGGAAGTGGTACAAAAGTATGAAAAACCAGCAAAGATATCGCTTCAGGAGTGTGTTACTTGTTTACATGGGACATCACTATCCAATTTGAAAATTAAATTAATTTAGACCCACTAAAAGATGAAAGCGTTGAACAAATTGTCAATTATGGTTTATTAATCTGAGTTTATGTGAGTTTTAGTGTTATGAAACATTATTTTCTAGCAAATTTAGTGTTCAAAGGAAGTAAATATGTATGACTTGAATTCATAAGATCATGTCAAACTCCATTGTACATAGGGTCCACTTTTTTTTCTTTTTTATTAGATATACGCTGTGTCCATCATTTTTACAAATAATGGGTGATTATGAATGTACAAACTTTTGAAGTCTTATCATACTGCTTATGGAAGATAAATAACTAAAAATCCTACATTCACCTTGAAATCAAGCTTTTATGAGTTTTTATCTTAGAATTCAGTCATGTAATCGAATTGATAAGGTCTTATCTTCAGTACGATTCAAATTTATTGTCAGTTAAACAAGATGGATGGATTTGCTACAAAAGAACTATTTCCATTTCTTCAGATAAGTTGATTATCTGACTAGTTGGGGATAAGTCAAATAGTGGTTCCTTGAGATTGTGTATTAATATTTTGTTGCCCACTGATGCTCGTTTGATAGTTTGAAGAGATATTACATCCCTAGTCTTGTTTGTTATAACACCTAAATGGGACGTAATTGATGGAGCCAAAGTTGGGAACTATTTCTTAAATTTTAGTCAGTTTATCTAAATTATAAATATGGGATTTTTCTGATAAACTGACATAAAACCAACTAAACACATTGCAAGACGCACAAATTTCTGCACTCCCAGTAAGTTAGGTTTTAAAACTTAAAAGAGTATAAGGTTAATTTCTGCAATTGTTGAACTACTGCCACAGTGTGATAAATGTAGTCATATCCATTAATTAACTCATGTCAACTACTAGTTTAGAGAACCTATTTCTGATACAATTATGCAACAGAGACAGAGTAGACAAGTTTCCAAAAACATTCACTTTTCACAGCCGCATTGCTAGAGCCTTTCCTTTTTTGTTTGTTTTTGTTTTTGTTTTTAATAACATGGATGTTTTTTGCAGAAACAGATCCAAGAAAGCTCCCACCCTTGTCTATTGATTTACGGCTCCGAGTTGCTGTAGATGTGGCACGATGTCTTAACTACCTACACAATGAGAGAGCAATACCCCATGGGAACCTCAAATCCTCTAACATCTTGTTAGAAACTCCTAATATGAATGCACTCCTCACCGATTATAGTCTTCACCGGATATTGACATCAGCTGGCACAGCTGAGCAAGTTTTGAATGCAGGTGCTCTTGGCTATAGGCCACCTGAATTCGCTAGCTCAAGTAAACCACTCCCATCACTAAAGAGTGATGTCTACGCATTTGGAGTTATCTTGCTGGAGCTGCTCACTGGTAAGAGTTCCGGGGAGATTGTTTGTGGGGATCCAAGAGTAGTTGATTTGACAGACTGGGTTAGGTTATTGGCTATCGAAAATCGCTCAGGCAAGTGCTTTGACAATGTGATTATGGACAGGCATGATGTGGAGCACCCACCTAGAGTTCTAGATGAAATGCTTCAAGTGGCTCTCAGATGTATACTACCAGCGTCCGAGAGACCTGATATGAAGTCGGTTTTTGAAGATCTCTCGACGATTGTGTTAGAAGAGGCCAGCCAAGGTAAATAAAAACTCTTAACTGCTTCATCCCATATTCCATTTATTGGTTTATTCCTTAGATAATTTTGATTGTATGATTATAATCTGAAATTGTAAGTTTCAAACAGCATTTCCTAGTGAATAATATCAATATCTTTAGAAGACTAAGAAGCACAGTAGAGATTTGTACTCCCACCAAATAAAATAAAAAATGGAGAAGGAAGTAAAGTTCCTTGTACATGTTTAGTGTAGAATTAGGGTTAATCTTGGAATTTAATTTTACTCTTAAATTCAGTTTGTGTTTTTTATTTATATACATATATGAAATATTTGATTTAGCAAAAAAGATGGTTAAACTTAAAAATATCTAAGAAATCTTAACTTTATATAATACTAAATCTAGTAACCTATAGTGTCATAAGGAGAAATATAAATATTGTTATGCTCTTAAGATACAATTTAAAAAAGATATCTCTAGGTATATAATTAAGCCTAAGTTTTACTTATTATTATGTTACTATAAGGTTGATAAAGTAGAAGGTTCAAAACAATATTATTAAGATACAATTGATTTGTCCAATAGAGAGGAATTTGTTGACTCAGTTTAATTGTGCTATTGCCCATTGATGATATTTATTATTAGATTAATGAATTTAAATGGGTTGGGTACTTAATATGTTACATTCAAGTTGTTATTTTCAAGAAATATATATACACATTCATGTTTATTGTCAATACTTACTACAAACCAGAAGAATAGTACTATAAAGTTGTTTTACGTTTTTCTAACCTCTAAATAATATTTTTAATCTTGTAAAAGAGACCTTTAATGTATTAATTATCAAATACAAATATTATAATAAAACAAGTGATGGCTCGCATGACTTTTATATTGGAGTATAAATAGTAAAAAGAATTAATCAACTAAAATACATAACTATGTACTGAGTATAACAATAATCTCAATAAGAACATGTATACCATTACCATACCACCACAAAACTAAATAAAAACCAATTACATAGTACACAAACGGGTGTAATGTAAATCCTACAACCAAACACTCCCCTCTAAAATAATAATACCCTACCAAAGTTCCACCCCATAATCACAATCCTTTGACAAAATCTTCGACTGAGACGTTAACTTATCCACCGTTAGATCACAATTGATTTTCACCTTGATCGTCCACGTCTTCACTGACCCCACCTTAATCTTCACAGGAGCTCTCAAATTCACCTTAAGCGCCACCGTTCCCGACTTCTCAGCAGCCACCAGCTGCTTGTGAACAGAACTCGTTAACTGAATAGCCGAACCTTTAAGATCCACATTGAACACTGTGACATTGTTTTTGGGCTGATAAAACCAAGGCAAAACGCCGTCGCATAAGATGACGTCCTGGTAATAAGCCTCGACTGAGCTGTCTTTCTCGTAGTAAATTCCGATGTGGTTATTGGGATTGTTGGCGGTGACTGAGATGTTGAACTGAGGAGAGATACGCGAAGATGAAGAAGAGAGATTGAGAGGTTTGATAGAAATAGAGTTGATGGAATAATGAGGTGACTCTGGACGAAAGACGAGGTAGAAGATGCCGGATGCGATGGCGAGGAGGAGGATGAGGGTGAGGAGAGTGAAGCAGAAGAAGCGACAGCAGCGACAAGTTCTAGAAGATTTAGGGCGGGAGAGGCGTTTGAGACGGTCGGCGTTTTCGGGAGGAGGGAGGCGGTAGATTTGGTCCTTGGGGATCTGAATGACGTAAGTGCCGGCAGGAGGTTGAGGAATAGGCTTTTCAGGAGAAGGAGGAGAAGGTCTGGGAGTGGAGAGTTGATCTTGATCTTGATCTTGATCATGATCTTCACGGGGATGATGGGAGGGTGAGTGGTGAGGGTGGACTCTTTCGGCAGCCATAGGACTTGAAGTTTCTGAAGGAAGAACTATGGAAGATTTAAAGAGTAAAGAGAGAAAGCGCGTAAGAGGAAACTGATGTGCCAAGTCCGTGTTCTTATTTGGAGAAATGAGACGAGTGAGAAGAAAGATGAGCCTGTACGTACAGAAGAAGACAGCTAAGACAACAAAACCAAAAGAGGGTTAAGTCCCATGCCGGCTGAAATCAATGTGCGAGGAGGAGGGTGAATTATAAATTTATAATAATAGAAATAGAAATGGAGATTGGCCAAGTAGTCAAGGAAACTTGTATTAATATTGAATCCTTCGTGTGGGAAAAGAAAACACAAGGCATATTGAAAAAGTCTTCACCATACATGGAATATTCATTTCTTGCTATACGTCTGCCATTTGGAGTAGTTGATGAATTTTGTTGGTGATTTCAGAAACTGGCAGTTGAACATTTCAATGTTTTATTTTCTTTTTCTTCCTTGGAAAAATGCTCTTTATTATTTGGTCAAAACACATGCATTTACATATTCATATTATCAACTTATTTTCATCCCCCTTTTTTAACTTAAAAGAGGTTTTTTAATGCATTGTAGAACAACCACAACTCTGATACTGTTCTATTTCATCTTTATTTGTATTAGGGATTTTGCAATTGTTCATTTCGAAACCAAAAGAAATGAAGAATCTGATTTCAAACCAAACCCACCCTAGATTATAGATTTAGATTCATTAGAGGGTTATTTTATCTCTTAGCATTTTAATCCTTCAATAAGATTAATTACAAAGATTTGGCCCCTAAAACAAATTATCATAATAAATGATTTAGTAACTATAAAAACAAGATAATTATTTGACAAAAAGCACTGCATGTCTATACAACAACATTATGAAACTTGATATTAGCATTGGAGATTTATGCTACTTTCTATGCTAAATTTTTACACATCACCTCATACTTTTCACATTCCTGTATTTTATCCTTCCATTTAACAAAGATCCCTTTATTCTTTTCTCCCAGAAGATAAAATTAAAAACTAAAATTATTGCCATTCAGCTGGGACCTCAAAATGCTTCTGTTTTTCGGCTATAGCAATGAAACTTCTTCCTTCTCTCCATTTTCAACTTCATTTAAGAGTTAAAAGTTCAAGATTGTGACGGCAACTGACCATTACTACTACGTACCTGATCAGCATTACTCTTAGCGTCTCGGTTAATCATCTCAGCGTAATTATTCTTAGCATCTTTGATGGCTTGCAAAAGTTCTACATACTTATCAACTGAATCCTTAGCAAAGTTGTTCAACTGACCAATAAATCTCACCAGGCTTGATCGAAAACGGTCGAAACCTGAAATCCATTCCTCTGAAGCTTCATCTGTCATTATATTAATTGCCGGATCACTGCCATTATCAGCATTCCAGGATGTTGAAAGATGGGTGGCACTCTTCCCTTGATTCTTGTCTTGGTGTGGCAGGAAGCGAATTGTTTCTGCTGCTAAATTCTTGATAGAATTAGTGACATGCTCGCGATGCAATTCATCCAGCTTTTCCAACCAGACATCACAAGTGGCATATATTGGAGGGCCATAGTTTCGCAAAGGGGGGGCTGGTAACGGCCTTTTTCTCCTAGAATACTTCTGACGAAGATAGACACATTTGTAAAGCCAAGACTTTATGGCCTTAAGATAAGAACTCTGAGCTTCAATCCATTTTGTAAAACTCGAAGACAAAGAGCTTAGTTCACTTTCTAAATGAATGGTGATCTGCCGATGTGAATCTGACTGTATGGAGATTTTGCTGTTGCCATTGTTGAAAGCTACTGAGATAATATGAAACTGAAGCTTGTGACATTCATACATTACTTCCCACATCCGACTTAACCTGGAATCAATGTAAAAAGCAGAAAAAGATGAAATTTTCAAGTCATGTGCACAAATAAATATTATAATAAGGGAAAAATAAATAAATCCTGCATGATGTTCCTTGTGTCTGCAGTCTGTATTTAACTTAAAACTGATCATTACGATATTTTAGATTAATTTTTCTTTTTTTACTTTAAAACATTTTTTTCTAAGACATTTGTAGTTGAATAAAAACAAAAATGAAGTACTTTTAAAACCTTTATTTAAATAGAAAATTTCTTAGTTAATATACACTTTAATGCAAGACTAGCTATTTCCAACACATTCCCACCCTTGATATTTTATTAAACTTTATCTCAAAATTAGCCCATAATCTTCACCACCAACATCATAAACAACACCACCACCGCCACAGCCATCCAACACCATAACTATAATTATAGTTTATATTTTTCAAACGTTATTACCATGACTAGAATGATTATTATTATGTAAAACTAATATGTCAAAATGCTAATTTTCAAACACTTCTCTTTTAGAATAACACACTTGATACTTATATCCAGACACAAGAAAATAAAAATAACAAATGCCACAAGATAATTCTATTTGGAAACTGAAAGAAACAGGGCAAGTTATACTTTCAGACTCAGTAATCCACTAGATACGTCTATTCATAGGAATCAAACCCAACTATAACTCACGTCAGACATCTATCTCATTCAACTGTTGATAAGATAAACCAAAAATTAGAATTTCCGTTTCTCTAGTTGTCATTTCGACTGCTAGTTAAGGATAATATTCTGAGGTCCAAATTGATAAGTTTTATAAAAATCATTTCCATGGCACAATGAAACTAGAATAAAGATTCAACAAAAGTGTTGGCTAGTGGGACATATTCCTTATGATTAAGACAAATCAAGCTCAATGAAGACAAAGGAATATTTCATTGAGCTCCTGAAGTTTGGCCTCTACAGGTCCTTCAAGTTTTGAAAATCATTACAGACCACCCAGAGTTTCATGAAATTTATCAAGACCCTCCTCTGTAGACTGTAGAAAAGGTCTCTACCTTATTTTAAAACCAAGTGGTCACCCTATAGCCAAGTGGCCACCCTATCTGATGGGGTCAAATAAATGATAGGATCAGGATAGGGTGAGAAAGGAAGAAAGGGGAGAAGGATTAGAAGAATAGAAAGGTGGGAAAATTTAGAATAAAGGGGAGAAAACTTAAGAGAAAGATAGAGAAGAAAATCTTATTTCATCATCAGCTGCCCTATTACAATGAAGTAAACCTCTATTTATAGGACCAAGCCTTAGTCTTACATGGTAGATAATTATTTTAGGAATATACAATCATTAAATCAAATATCCTAGAAATCTAGCAACCATCTATAAGGTAAGGAGATCTTAAATAAACTAGGAAAAAAAAAAAAAAAATATATATATATATAAAACAGGAAAGAAAGAACAATTATTCTTAGAGATTACAATGCCACCCTAAAATCTCTAGGTTTCCCTCTAGTTGTCCTACACCACAAATTATTAAAGGAAGTTTTGTGACACATCAAAAAGTTTTAGTATCATATATACACTTTGACAAAAAGAAGTTACCATGCATATATCTTCTGTGTAGCCATATATATAATTTTTTTAAATATGTAGTCAGTGTCAAACTATTTTCATATGGCTAATAAGGGGTACTGCCTTCTTTGCAGTTTTATTAGTTCAGGAGAACATACTTTTACTACTTGGAAAGCCACCCAAAATAGCATTCAAATAAGAAAAATTTTAAAGAATGACATCAGGACTTTTAAAGTATAACCAAAAATCTGTGAGAAACATATAAGCAAAAACATCATGACTTTCAAAATATGACCAATAACCTGTGAGAAATAGAGAAGCAAAATTTCAGTCTGTGACAACCAGTGCCATCTAACTCATTTAAAAGGAAGAAATTCAAGCCATTATATAACAAGTTTAAGGACTTACAAACATACCATGTTTCTTGAGACTAATCAGTCCAACAAGAGGCATACACATCTTGTAGTATCCATGATATATAGCTCCTAATTGAAGCTATGTGACATAATATTTAAAGGGTAATTAAGAAAATAATTATATCAAACACGTACCCTTCAATCAGCTCCTCCAGTTGCGGTTGGAGTTCTGTGTCCCGTAGTTCTTCAATCCTCTTTGATATCGACTCAATTCTGTGAATTGCAACTCTGATTCTTGAGTGTAGATCTTTAACAACAGCGCGTGTTTTATCAATTCTGGTGGGACTTTCTCCTTTTGATTCCAGTTGTCTTAATATTTTACACTTTGAGTCATAAACTCTTCTGACCATCTCACTAGCCTGGATTTTAGAGCATTTAGAAAGTTAATATATTTACAAGGACAACATTCAATTATGTCATCTGCTGAGAATTTGATAACCGATATATTCTTTGTGCTTGGGAAAGGACAGCATAAAATAGCAGGACTATATTGTTTGTTAAAAAAGAAATTCAATTTTAGATTTTAAAAGCTTGTATTGTTCAAAGAATGTCAAAGTAAGTTTGTTATTTAAGTTGTAATTTAGAAACAATTCAGTCAAAAAATTAATAACTTTTCTACAATATTTAACTAAACTTTTTGAACTATTCTGAATTCGATTAACAAAATACCTCTATTTTTTTCTCACAATTCCAAATAATTTTATATGGTTCTTATATAATATACAACTTAGAACCGAGTTGCTTGAACTAGGAAGTTCCAGAATCAAAAACTAAAACTATTTAGAGAAACTGATAATACCTTTACTTCATCATAAAGCTTCCTCTCCCATGCATATAGTCTATCCAAGGTTGACGCATGACTGCTCGAGATCATGTGAATACTATCAAAAACATTACTGGTAAGGTCCTCAACCTCGTCTTTTGAATTCAAACCAAGAGGAGTCCTGGATGAAGATGATCGAGATGATTCGGTCCTATGCCAAGTTAAGTACTTTACAGAATTTTGAGCAGGCTCTAAGAAAGCAGTTAAAAGAGATGATTAGTAATTAAGGTAGAAAAATCAAGAACAAGAAAGATGCATGATTTTTTGGATCCTAACCTCTAAGCTTAAAAATTTTGAGTTTAGTAGTCATTTAACATAGTATCAAATCCAATTGATCCAAGAGGGCATGTTCTCAATCTGTTACATGTTTGCATTTGTGTTTGAGCGTTTGCAATTTTATTTTTCTCCACAATCATTTTTTTTTTTCATGACAAGCCCATCAATTAAATGCACATAATGCGAGGCAGAATGTTACTTAAAACTTAAGTACTATCATTAGTCCCCAATGAGCTTAAACTTTTGGGGCTATCACATGATAGACATGCAATGCTTCCGCAGAAATGTTTTCTCTGGTTTTGGGTATTCAGCCAGTACGAAAATGAGAAAATTGAAATTCAAGCAAGCAAGCTAGTAAACTATTTCTCTTTGCTACAAAGGCAAAGTGAGTTTGCCATTTCAAGCCAGGCCTAAGCGAGCCAAAAAAGAGTCAGGCTGGAGTTGTTGTACAAGTGAGCGAGGTGGTAGTTCTTAGGCTAAGTGAATGAATGGAGCACTATGGTTGATTGAAAAGCAAAAGATAGGTGCATATTTTAGTGTTCTACGGTTGAAAAGGGACTCAATGAGGTCCCAATCAGGTTGTTCTAAACAAGCTAGGAGAAGTGTGTGAGAACTACAGTTCAAGTGAAGCACAAAACCAGTGTGCAAAATAATCCCAAGGACAATCTCTTAAGTTATTATACCAAACTTAAAGTTGACATCAAGCTTCAATAGTTTTGCTTTAAGAGTATACGTCTCTAACAACTTTCTACTTTTGTTCATTTGATGCCTTTTCCTTACATTATAAACCAGGATTTTCTATGTGATTTGTGAAACCCAACTTCTACAAGATTTCCCTTATGTTGAATTTTCTAGAATGATCAAATGCTAACCAACTAAAACACTATCTTGCTTTCACATAATTTTTATTCACTTTTTAGGCCAGGCAAATCAATATAGAAAAGTAAACTAAAGCACTCTTAAAGTATAAAAAACAAAAACGGAAAAAAAGCCACTGCCTTTTCTTAAAATGATTTAGAAACAATACAAAAAAGGAAGGCATTCACTTAAATGAAGAATTTTTGAAACGATTGAGCATGATCTTTAGTTTATACCAAATTGATTGTCAACAAATGTAGCATCTTCTACAGATAAAGAAAATAAACTAAGAAGACATTTCTTGTAAATTATGTTATTAAACTTATAGAATTTCATCTTTATCCTGACATTCAAAGATATTAAATTCAATCATGTCCAAGTCTATGAAGACTGTTGTCAATAACTATGAACATAAGCCAGATATACACAACCTAAGAACTCAAACTGTCAAACTTTAATCTAATTAAATCGTTGTTTTACGTGATAAATATTCCTAAACATTAGTTCAAGTCCAAACTTATCCATCTTACTTTGTGCCTTGGAAGAATAATTTTCGTTTCCTTTCTTTATAATTCTAATATGTCATTTGCAAGAGCAGAGATAAGGAGACCTACCTTCTTGAACTTCGCTAAGTTCTTCCCCACAGGAGAAACAAGTTTTGAAGAATGTGGATGCCATTGATCCACCTGCCACAGCGAATTTACAGTTTATTATAAAAATATACCAACTCTGGTCAAAGGAGAAACATCTTAATCAATAATTTCCTATGGTCTCCCAAAAATTAGAAAAAGAACATCAGTTTCTTATCGATCCTCCAAAAAAATAGCAACATTTCAGTCAATACTGTACATGCTAACATTTCAAACATCCAAGTTAATGAACTCCTCCAAGTAGGTCTAAAATTGAAACAAGAATGATGAAATGTAGGGGAATAAAAAAACAGAGAATGTTCTTGCTCTAGATTCTTTAAACCATTGTGGCTAATACATAAAATGGAATCAAAAAAGAAATTAAAATAAAATATTCCCTGACAGTAATTCAAAGAGAAAGAGCATACTTTCTTTTGCTGGTAATATTGGACGGAAATGCAACTTATTTGCTTCAAGCATCCTCGGAACTTCCTTCCCAGACTCAGAAGCTTTAATAAAGAGATGTTCAATATCTTTCATGCTCGAAAGGAAGTCCTTAGGGGTGACCTTATTTTCAATACAATCTTCCTTCACTGGTGTTTTCTTTATATTAGATGGAAGGGAAGCTCTCGAGGAAGTGGCTCTCACTGGTGATAAATCAGGAGAGTTGCTTTTTTCCCCATTCATGAATTCACTTTCTGAAGCTACACTACCAGCAGAAGGCATAGTAGGTGAAGCACTAGGTGCATTATGATCATGTAGCCGGTTAAAATTTTCAAAACGTCTAACTAGAGTATCTGCAGAAGGCTCATCAAATTCATCCTCTGAATCTAGGGACTCTTCCCTTCCACGGAAAGAAGCATTCCCTTCTTCATCTTCCAGCTCAGGAATTCCCTCCTCTTCCCTAGGCTTTCTTAAATCATCAACATTCTCAAACCCTTGGTTCATCCCCTTCCCTTCTTTAAAAGAAAATTGATGGTCAATCGGATGGAGAGGACCAAAGTAATCCCATGGTGGAGTTACTGATGGGATAGCAGATTCTTCAAATAGTGAAGACTCTTGTTTTTCAGTGTAATGAGGTTTGCTATTTTGTGGGGTGCTTGATGATGTTAGTGTTCCAATAACAGGTGAAGGAGGTTTTTCTTCAACCTTTTTGGATGATATACCCCTAAATTTCATGTGACTTGCCTGAAATTGACTTGAGGGAGGAGGAGAAGGAGATGGACAAAGGTTTTCAGTTGCATCTACCCGTTGTGAAAAGGTTGGAGAGGAAAATGAGAACTGGGAAAGAGACTTTTCAGTAAAAGCAAGTGGCTCAGGAGTTGCATTAGTAGAAGTGTACAAAGAAGATTCAATTGGACCTTCAGGTTCAACAAACTTCCTCAGAGCAGTTCCCGTATTTCTCAGTGACTGGACATATGCAATATGCGCACCTGCCAGTGAGCACCTGCCATCAAGTGCTTGTCTAACAAACTTCTTCCTTTCACGACATAGCTGCAGGACCTTATCTTCTTCTATCCTAGAGCTGGAAGCCCCCATTTTCTCAGCTTTATATGTTGGGTATCACTCTTTATAACCAAACAGGAATTAACCTTTCCCTGTAAATTAATAAATGTCAAACAAAATAGATAACTAAACACTAACTTCTGAGAATCTCAGTACTGTTTGCAAAATGGAATTATCATGTACAGGAAACAATTCATTTTGAGAAAAACCAAAAACATCGCCAAAGCCAAATCATCCACTTATTAACAAGAAATACAAAAATGATAATTATAAAGTGTTCATATAAATAAAAAATTGAAGTTTTACTTCATATATATATCACATCCTCCTTGTTTCCACATCAAATATGGCAAAGTGATGGACTCAACATCTCTACAACCAACCAGACAATTTCATTAATTAATCAGGCAGAATAAGGCAGCGTAAAGAAGACATCTATTTGTAGTTCAATGTAATCAACCAATCGCACAACTAAACAATGAGATCAGTCAGACAGGGAACAAAAATCAAGTTTGAAGACAAGACATAAACAAGGAAACTCTCAAAATCTAGGCTCGAGGACACAAGTATACATGTGTTTCATGCATTCGTGGTATAAAAGGCCATAACAGTGTATCTATGATCATGTGTTACTACGTTTCTATAAGAACCATGGATTTTAAAAATGTTGTCCAGCTCGCAAGTTGTTAAAGCTCCATTAGAAATTTGTTTAGCACCATCAATTTGTTGGGCATATTATAGGCACTAAGCATTAAGCAAATCATGGCGTATGCAGCCACTACTGTTTCTTGAATAGTTGTTGAAGTTAGCAGAGACTTTAGTCCCATGCCCTGAAGTATCCAACACACTGAATTTTAGAACTGATTAAAACTTATATGGCTCAAAACTCATAAAAGTAACACTTTAATCACAAAACTAGATGCTGTTTGATGATAAGCCAAAGAGCAAGAATGATTAAATAATGTCCACAGATCTTTAATTTTTCATTGAAGAGTAAGCTAAAGAAACCAACAATAAAAGAAGAGGGAAAAAAAGAACAGAATCTCTAGGGATAATTTCAAGTGCACCCAAAGCAAACCAATAACAGTATAATTTCATCAGCAAAAGCCATGAAAACAAGTAATGAATGTCAAAATCAAATCCATACAACAGAATTCTATTGTTTCTTGTAGTTAAATAAGTAAAAGAAAAAGACCCACCTGAAAAGGAAGAAAACCCAGTTCAGCGAGGTAAAGTTGCATCAAATTTGAAGTCCAGAAGATAGCTGGAGATGAAAAATGAAGATATCAAACAAGATTCACAAACAATTCAAACAAAATTCTAAAACCCCGTCTTACTGATCAATCAGAAACAAAACTAAAAATTTGAATCAAACCCAATTACCATAAGTAAAAAGAGATTATAAAATCACCTGGGAAAAGAGATGGAGAAATCAATCAATCAGCTTGAATTTCAGAGAGAATCTTTGAATAAATAAAAAGATAAGAAGAGAAGAGAGAAGAGACGAATCTGAAGAACTAATGGCAACTTCCATGCAAAAGGGTATTTGGAAAAACTGCACACATCACTTATTCACTTTGCAGAGTGTGGGTCCCATCCCTTTTTCATTTCTTCTTTTTATTATGTAACTGTAACTCTGTAACCGTAACGTTCCTCTTCATCTCAACATTAAAAAAGTTTTTTAACTTTTCTGATCTACATTTTGCTGATAATTATATTCGGAGTAAACAACATGTTCCCACCCAAGGTTTTGCGAACTGATAAGTCCCACCGCTGGTTTATAAATTATAAATTATAAATTATCACCCTTAAATTAAGGTTTTATGTTTCGTTTAACGGTGGGTAAAGTAATAATTTGTATTGTATTAAATCTAAAATAAAAATAAAAATTTTAAATAACCCTTCACATTTCACAGGGTAAAGTGGCTGGGTGGTGGCTTTGGGTGAGGAATTTTGTCAAGCAAGTGGTGGACAGGTTAGTTGTGGGAAGGTTGGAACTGCTTGGAAGTCGCCGGCAACCAGATAATTATACACAATAGCAATCAAATATCAACAACAACCAGCAAGGAGCTACAATCAATGGATAAAAGGCCGCGAGCTACACCAAATCGACACAAAATTTGGGTCGTCATTCCAAATTCTTAGTTATCCTTTGACTGTTGCGTGCTTATAATGTTATTGCTCGCATGATTTAACGTTTCCAGATTACTTATCTTTCGGTGGCCCAAAGCAACATCCAAAAGGCGAAGGGGTTCAAATAAAACCAAACCAAAACAACAAAAACAGCTTGAGGAAGAAGATAAAGGAAAACCAAAAAGGCTCACGGCTGTTTGGTGCCAAATTCTTTTTAGTTAGTTGAAGCAAAAAGGTTTGCAATAAATATTAGTGCAGGTCGTATTCTAAGATTGAATATTACTTCACAAAGTTATCCAATCTAATGGGTTGAGAGCTCTGCACTTCACTTATTCCATGTTACTCCTAACCCATTGGTCATTTTAATGCTTTATTTAATAATACAAGAGGAAAATAAGCAGGTTCTAAATAATTTTCAGATCTTTATAACTATTCAAATGTCATTATTTTATTGGAAGATTTTATTAATTTGGCTGGATGGTGATACTGGCTGGGTGGCGGCAATGGCTAGATGGTGGTGGTGGTGACAGTGGCAATGACTGGGTGGTTGGAGATAGAGATGATGTGAATGTTGAAGAAGAGTGTGTTATTGAAATAAATTTGAAAGTAAGAATTATTTTTTCTAAGTCTGCTAACTACCAATTTGAAGGTTAAAAGGTAATTTGTTAATTTATTTGTAAGGATAGTATAGTAATGACTCCCTCTGCACCTAAGTTATAACTTAAAAGTTTGTAACGGTATTGATTTAAAGGTGAAAATTTAGAATTTAGAATTTAGAACTTGTCATTTTGCTGAGCCTTGGGTGGGAACATATGGTTTACTCTTATATTTGAGTTGATCAAAATCTTTGGACGGCTTGTCGTCTTTTGCCGCCATCATCGCATGGCTTCCCCCACCTAACAGTTAGATCAGATATGGTCCAGCGGGTTAAAATCAGGATAACATTATCATACTAACATGATTATGCGATGTTACTTCTATAATATTGTTAATCTTCAAGAGTGAAGCACAAAATCCGATTATCCGAACCGAGGTTCTCAAGCCTGCATTAAAATCCATCGGTTTAGTGTAGAAAATCCGAATTAATCGGTTCGGATATGGGGTTTTAATTCGATTTTACTTCCCCAATCGGGTTTATTCAATTTTACAATATAGAGACCAAATTGATTTTGGTTCGATTCAAAGTTTGTTGAAACCTTAACCAAACCAACTAATGTCTATTATAACTGATTAAGGTACCTATTTTTTTTTTTTGTGAAATCGATTCAATTTCGATTTAAGAATTCCTTTTAATCGGTTGTTTGATTTGGTTACCGGTTCAAAGGATTTTGGAAACTAATTAACCAAAATCAGTTTTGCAATAAAAATTAACAAACCCAAAAGGCCAAAAGCCTAAAAGAGGCAAAATCCCAAAAATTGCAAAAAATTAAAATCCCCAAATTCTTAACTCTCTCTCATTCTCAATCTCAATTCTCAACCTCTACTTGTTTATTTGTAAACTAAACCCTAACTTCCTTCAATCCTTCCTCAAGCTGCTGTCGAGTGCCGACTTTTCTGTTGCTGGGATTAATTTCAGTGAATCGAAATACATTGTATCTTTTCTTAGCATCATAGGAATGAGAACACCTAGTTATTGGACATTATCTTCTTCCTGTAATGAGCCTATTGTTTTTGTTGATTTGCTCCAGCATCTTCTTCTTGTTTTTCATCTTTCGTTCTTTATTTTTTTCTCACTAAGTGAAGAATTTGTTTCTTTTGTTCTGTAGTTGTTTCTTGCTAATTCAAGAATCACTTATTTGAATAAATTTTATTGACCTCTTTGTATCTCATCACTTATTTGAATAAATTTTCTCCATGAAAATTGAAAAATTTGTCTGCGAAGGGACTTGGAGATTTGTTGCTAAGATTTCAGGCGAAAACCAGTTCAAAATCGGATAACCGAAAAATCGGTTCGATTTAAAACTGATTTTTCTCTAAAACCGGTTCAGTTTTAGTTTAAGGATTTCCCTAAACCGAAAAATTGGTTCGCTTCAAAAAAGTAGTTAACAGATTATGAATAATCCTAATGTCATCTTATATTACTTAGATTATTACATTTGGTCTTCAAGTAATATAAGATTCTGATAATCTTCTGAAGCCAATAATAATTATTGTTGATTATATATGTAATAATTTGATTACTTCAATTTTTTTAGGTATTTTATGATTACTTGATAATCTTAATATTGCTATAATTTTACTCTTAACTATTAAATTTTTTGGATAATAATGTCTTTATTTTAAAATTAATATAGATAAATCTGTCATTACAGTTTTACGCTAAATAATTAAGTTTTTGCACAATAACGCCATTATATTTAAAACAATTTGCAGGTCACCCAGGACCACTATTGCCTGCCAGCCACCACCGTCGAGCTCCTGTAATTAATTAAGTTTTAGACAATTGTACCATCAATATTTTAAAAAATGAATAAGTACAATCATTTAATAGAACCTTTTTTTTTTTTTTTTTTTGTGATTTATAAATATTTAACTGTTAGATGGATTGAGATAGATCATCCACTAATAAGCTAATTCCCATGGTTTGTAGTAGACCTACGCTAATATTAGTGTTGGACAGTAAATCCACACAAAATGGATTCACGCCACGTGTCGAAACCATACACTACTCTTCAGTTTGTGTGTCAACCCATGAAAAAATTACTTCATTTACAAGTCTAACAATTATTACTTCAAGGTAAGATTCAAAGTTAAGATTCAAAGTACACTATCTCTCGGCCGCATGTCACTTCCTCAAAGGACTACTTCATGTGTAAGAATACAAAAGATTACCTCACCAATAAGATTTCAAGCTATGATGTCATCTTGGCCATGTGTTGCGTCGCATGAGGGTTACTTCACACTTAAACTTACCAATGTAAGACTATAAAAAGGGGTCTCCCACTTACATTTGGGAGAGGACAAGAAATCTCATATACAGTTTGTATTAGTTAGAAACCTTGCAGAGGGTGATACCATAATAGTGGACGTATGAATTGTTTATTGCTTCCGAACCAATATAAAAAAATTTCTTGTCCTTTTTATTGTTTGCTTTACTTTCTCGTCATTTAGTTCATTATTCTTTACGTTTTTTTTTTTTCATATTTATAAATCCAACATTAACGTAGCATTATTTTTGGTCTTCCGAGGACCCTTGCATGAATCCCACAGATAGAATTCACGTACTTCTCATTAGTGCAAAAATCCATATCAACAATTAGCTATAAGAATTTTTGTTGGATGTAAACGTTAAGTTATTGAATTACAAGAAGTCATTGATTTGTAAAATAGAACTCCAAGTAGTAATATAAAAAGGTATCTTGTTATAAGTTTTACAAAATTCCATAATATAGAGGGTTAGGATGAATAGTCCCATTTATTATTTAATATACAGAAAAGATGAATAATATCATAAAATGAGTGTAAGTTAAAAATAAAGACAAGCAAGGTGTAAATCTTGTAGGTTGTTGCATGGCAGTGCCATCCATGTGACAAAGACAAGTGAAAAGATTCTCAAAACTTTAATCTCAATACCCCTTTTATCTAAAGTTGTAACAAATATATTTGACATAAAATAGCTGGCACTTACTAGATGTTTCCAAAAGTATATGATAGCTTTTGCCATTCATTGGTCTGAGTAGATACCACATTTAAGATAAGCCTGTCACTTTAATCCTACTTTCTATCTTTTGAAATTGCATTGAATTTATCTCTTCACTATAATTAGGGTAAATCACACATAACCCTCCTCAAAAACTATTGTAATTCAACATCCCACTTTGATCTCACAATTTGCAGTTGCTATTTGGGCATCCCACGTATCAGCTATCATCATATTTTTTAATTTACAAAAATGCAAAATATATATTTAAAATTTTCAATACGATGGTCAAGTTAAAAATAAACTTATGGATAAATTTGTAATTGTAATGGTCACTAATAGTCAATTGATCACTTCAATTAAAAAAAAAGTAAGTGGAAGGAGATCGAAGTAGTAATTTTGGATTTAGTAGTGGCGGACTTCAATTTCCATAGTTTGATGGGATCTAGGTGGGCCATTTTATTAAAAGACCAAATAAAGTTCAAATTTAATTAAAAGATCATATAGTTTTAAGAATAATACTAGTTTTAAAGTGTTAAAGTAAAATAGCCTTATTATTGATTAAGGTTAATCAAACATGATTAGTGGTTAATTAGGATTAATGAAATATTGTGTAACCTTTTAAAAATTATAATATGTCCCCAAAAAACCGAAATTCTTGCAAACAAACCCAAACACCTTCTTCTTCTTCCTCCTGCCACATTAGCGCACCTCCTCTGGTTGTTGTTTCTTCTTCCTCCGCCATTAACATCTTCTCCTCCAAAGATCCGCCTCCTCCTCCTCCTCCTCTTGACATTTCGTCCAGGTATGTGTATCTCCTATTTGCATTTTAAATTTCAATTTACAAAGATTTAA